TCACATGATGTCATTCCGTTTCAAACTTGGTTGCATTCATGAGCTATGAGCATGTGTTTGAGCAAGTCTCACTCACATGCATAGCTCAATTCTCATATGATGACATTCCGGTTTTTGCTTGGTGGAGCTTTCCTCCATGTGCATGTGCTTCTCGTTTGTTCAATATTCACATTGTCAAGTTCGTGTGTGATGTAGAGTTCCGGTTCATACTTAGTGATCTCTCCTCCATGTGCACGTGCTTCTCACTAGTTCAATCTTCATATTGTCAAGTTCATGTGTATTGTAGTGTTCCGGTTCGTACTTAGTTCATATTTCCTCCGTATGCGGTTAGTCTTGGCAGTCGAAATCAGCAAGTCGTTGCAGGCTTACCCCCCTGGGGAGCGAGGACCTTCGAGCTAGGGATGCAGAAGAGGTGAGCGGCGAGGAAGGTTGCCCTTCTGAGCCGCTTTATATCGTAAAACAACTGACTTTGTTGTCTTGAGAAGTTCCCTTCTGTAGAACCATCTGTTCTCAGAAGGAGGCTGAAACGCGAACCTCACAAAATACGGCTGATCGGGGCCTGCGCCCCACTCATCCTCATTCCACGTCATATCCCTTGCCAAGGATCGGTGGACCAAATTGAGGAGGCAGGTCCGGGAATGCATCAGCTGGAGTGAATGGAAGCAACTTAGACGCATGGAAGACCGGGTAGGTTTGTAGATGCAGCGGAACGTCGATGACATTGGATGGACCGAATGGATCAGCGCCCACTGTATCTAAGACTGCCATGGACCCAAGTAATGAGGCAACAGCTTGGGGGAGATATCCTCCTCCCTCGATAGCTCAGAACTGGCTACCCAGACATAATCACCAGTGCGGACGGGGGAAGGCCGCCTGTGGCGATTAGCTTGTTCAATCATTGCCTTTTGGGTTGTGAACAAGTTCGCCCGTGCTCTTTCCACATCTATGCGATAGCGTCTGGTGAACTCTGCAGTGCCTGGTGGCAGGTCTGACTTGGCCTTATCGATGATATCATCGAGAGGCTGGCGTGGTTCACGTCCCCGATGCAACCGGTATGGACTGAGTCAAGGAGTGGACAGACATGTTATAAACAAGTTGTGCCCGGGCCAAGTGGAGATCCCAGTCCTGTTGATCTGGAGAGATGACAGGATGCAGCAATTGGAATAGGACTTGGTTCATCACTTTAGCCTGACCATTGGCTTCAGGATGATGACCAGAAGTCATGTCCAATCGTGAGTGCAGGTAATCCTTACAGTAGGACTGCCACTCATCGCTGCAAAATTGGGGGTCTCTATCACTGACTATAGAAGTGGGCGGTCCATGGTGTGTGACCCACCTCTCTGAAAAGGTTGCTCTCACAGTCGGGACTCTAGCTACCTCTGGCAAGGGGATGAACTCTGCGTATTTGGAGAACCTGTCCACGCAGACCATAACCTGACGCATGCCACGAGGGGTGGTCTTGCCTAAATCTGTGAAATCAATCGACACAGATTCCGCAGGGCCATCAGGTATGGATAGGGGTTTGAGTAGTCCCAGAGGAGGCCTACGCTGGACCTTGTTCCTCTGGCAAAGCTCACAGGTTTCCACATAACGCAACATATCACTCCGCATCTCCTTCCAGCAAAAGCGTTGCAACTGGGCTGCATACGACTTTAAAAACCCAAAGTGTCCGCGGGCATCATGACACTCTGACATCAGCAGTGTCTTACCCCTGTTGTACGTATACAGCAAGTCTGAACTCAGGGCATAGTCGGGTTTAGCATTGGAATCCGCTTGCAGATTCCTCACTATGGGCCCAAAAGTCGAGTCCTGAGGCAGAAGACGAGCAATGGTCTGATGGGTCTCCTCTCCAAAGGAGTGAGTAAAGGAGATCAATGTTAAAGAGTCTGGCCTACGAGAGAGGGCATCTGCTACTTTGTTGTAGCAACCCTTCTTGTGTTTCAGTTTAAAGTCAAACACGTCTATGAACTGAATGTAGCGTGCCAGCTTATCATTCAACTCTCCCTAGGACTTCATCCACTGTAAAGTGGAGTGATCTGAGAAGATCTTGAAGTGTCTTCCCAGGAGAAAGTGCTTCCAATGATTCAGGGCACAGACAAGAGCATACAACTCTTTCTCGTAGGTAGAGTCCTGAGGCTTCCGAGTCTTGATCTTCTTACTCATGAACTCTACTGGCCGTAGACCATTCCCATCATCCTGCTGAAGAACTGCCCCAACGCCATACTGACTAGCGTCAGTGGTCAGGATAAATGGCAGAGTGGGGTCACGTAGCTTCAGCACAGGTGCACGAGTTAAGGCCTTCTTGAGTCGTGTGAAGGCCAATTGACAGGGAAGGGACCAAAGAAATGGAGTGTCTTTCTTTGTTAGGTTGGTCGGGGGTGCAGCCACTACAGAAAAGTTCCTGAAAACTTTCTGAAGTAGGCTAAACCCCATGAAGGACCTGACATCCCTCACTGTCTGTGGCTGTGACCACTCCTGAATAGCAGCTATCTTGGCTGCTTCAGGAGCGCCAGGCCATCTCCAGAGATTACATGACACAGATAGATGACAGAGGGAGCTCCAAAAGAGGACTTCTCTATGTTAATCTTATACTGGTTGTCACGTAGTGACTGAAGGACAAGAGCCAAGTGCTCCGCATGTTCCCAGGCAGTTCTGCTGAATACCAGGATGCTATCCAGGTAGACAACCATGAACTTGTCCAGGTAAGGCCGGAAGATGCGGTGCATCTCTGTCTGGAAGGTACCTGGGGCATTGCGAAGTCCAAATGGCATGATCAGGAACTCGTAAGTACCATACCTGGTCTTGAAGGTTGTCTTATAGACATCGACCTCTGCCATCTCAATCTGGTGGTAGCCAGATTTGAGATCGACTTTGTTGAACACTGTGCAGCCCTGCACCATATCCTGCAGGTCATCGATCCTAGGAAGTGGCTCTGTACTCTTCCTAGTGATCTTGTTGAGACCCCTGTAGTCAATGCACATTCTGAACTCGCTGTTCCCTTTGGGCACAAAGAGAACCGGTGCGCCGAATTCAGAAGTGTTGGGTCTGATCCAGCCTATGCTGGTAAGGGTCTCAAGCTGCTTTCTAAGCTCCTCGAGCTCAGCAGGGGACATTTTGTAGACTCGTCCCTTAGGAGGGACTACTCCAGGTAGTAGTTCGATGCTATGCTTGGTTGGCCGGTTGAGTAGTCCAAAGGGCTCCTGCATCAGATCAGCGTATTGATCCACAACGTGCTGTATCTCAGGAGGGCAGGAAACAGGGGGAGTGTCAGTCTGCTTGACCAGAGCTATGAACAGATGGTCATGGTCGTACGCAAGAAAGGATAGAACTCCCTCGCTCTCAGGCAGTAGCAAGCAGTCTTAGGGTGATGATCAACAACAATCATGCATGGCTGATACACCCCCTGGCTGTTTGGTAGTTCAACTCTAGGAATCCGCCAGTCGATCTTAGGGTTGACTGCCTTCAGCCACTGCATAGAGAATACCAGGTCAAAGGGTAAATCAGGGAATATGTAGAAGTTCAGTGTCTGACTTCTCCAGCACTGTCAAAGGTAACAGGGATTCCCCTAACCTTCTCCCTGATGGTGAGCACTGTGGAGTCACCTATTCTGACCAGCAGAGGTTGCTGCAGCTGTTGAACTTTCATACCCAGATGCAATTTCTTGACAGCACTGGGAGATATGAAGTTCCTGGTGGCTCCACAATCCAACAGCCGTTTGATCCTACTGTGGTTGATCAGGGACCGAAGTAGGACGAGATCAGACTTGTTTCTCTTTTGTTCCTTCAGATGAAGGAAGAAAGCAGCAAGTGACTGAAGCTCATCCTGCCCCGGGTCCTGATCCGGGTCAGGATCCTCATAGCAGAAGGATGCTGCTCATGTAGTCCCCAAACTCGCGCAATCAGTCTCAACTGAAACAGCTGCAGGTTCACCTACCTGGGCAGATGAAGATGCAGCACTGGGGCAACTGCAGTCCCTGCAGTTGCCCAGGGTCTGTTTCAGTTTTTTGACTGTCCTAGGCCAGGCATGTAAGGGCAGTCCTTCAAAAAGTGTTGTCCCTCACACCTCAGGCAGACCCCTCTTTCCTTTCTTTTTCTCCACACTCCCTCCTGGATCTTGAGGTCATGCCAGGGGAGAGTGGAGGGATTGACTGGGTCAGCTGGCATACGGACGTCCTTTGGCAGATAAGGGCGCTGGGAGGAGGAAGGCCGACGTCCCTTGTCCTTCCCCTTTGCACTGGCTGAGGCTGTGGTGGGAGAAAACTTCTTCTGTTGCTGCATAACTCCCAAAACAGCTGAGTCAGGGCTGCTGCAACATCTGTCTCAGCAGCTGATCCAGTCCCAACTGATGGTGTATCAGCCTGGGAGTCTGAATCAGAAGCTGATGCAGACCCTGCATGTGCAAGGCTGCCTTTCCCTTTCTACCACCGCGAGGGAAGGCACCTTTCCTCCTGTAAGAGGAGGGGGCCTGGACATGAAGTTTTGCCTCCATGTCCAGGGCTGCATGACCAAAGGATCTCCAGTCCTTGTGCCCAGCGCTGTACAAAGCCACATAAAACTTCGCAGGGGCTGCCCTGCAGAAGTTTGTTAATAGGTCATCTGCAGACATGACCACACCAGGTGTGGCAGTCAACTGCTCGAACTCTGCAAACAAGGATTGCAGGGAACCGCTGTAGCGCTGCTGCCCCAAGTGTCAGCAGCTTTGCAGGCCCGCTCCTTGTCTGCAAAGCGGTCTTCCAGCGCCTGCAGAAGACTGTCCACCCCCAATCCCAAAGCCCAATCCTCCATAGTTTTCTGCAGACCGCTAGAGGTAGAGGTAGCCCACTTTTGTGCAGGCCCCTCCAGCAGCCACCTTTGTCTGTTCTGGGCATATGAAGCCCCTCAAGTAGGCCCTGGTCCCTGCAGCCCAGTCCCCAACATCAATCTTGGGGTCATCCCCTCTGAATTTGTTGGGGGCAGGGATCTTGGGACCTCTCTGATCCCCTGCAACAACAACAACAAAGGTGGGTTTGGCTGAGGCTTTTTGGGAAGGAGATGGTGAAGGGGAAGAATGACGCGAACCAGAGGGACCTGAAGAAGGAGAAGGTGAAGGTTTAGGTTTGGCTAAGGGGGCAGGAGACTGGGGAGCAATCAGTTTGGCTGTTGTCAGCTGGGCAGTCAGATCCTGAATTGCGTTCAGTATCTTGGACTGCTGAGCTGCCAGGTCACCCACCCTGCGCTCCAGGCGACCGATTCGATCACCCGAGTTTGTGAAATAAGAACTGGTGGCCTTGTGCTCCAAAAGAGCCCACTCCACCAGGTTCTTATTCACCTGGGAGCAGCGGTCATCTGTCAGGACCTTGGCTAGCTACTCCAACAGGTACTCCCTTCTGAAAGTATCTGTTGCAGCCTCTAGCTCAGCTGCCTCCTGTCTCTCCAATTCTGCAAGCAGGGCCTGCTCCTGCTGCAGTCTTTCCTGCAACTCCTTTTTCTTCTGCTGAGTAGCAGTCAGAGGAGTAGTAGGGGTGGAGGTAAAAGGTTGTGGTTCTTCTACCTTCATCACTACTTCTACCTGTGGCTGCTGCTGACCACCCTGTTCCGCCATTTTCCACTTTCAAAACAACAATAAATGATGGACAAGCAGAGGAGTATGCAACGATTTTCAATTTCCTGCAGACACTCAGAAATCGTTGTTGCCTCAGACAGAGGTAGGTGGCTGAATAGGCAACAAATGGTTTGGGTTAGAATGGTTTCCCTGGGGTCAGGTGTCAGACAGACTGATAGTCCTGTAAAATCATTCACACGATTTCCTTTTACTGACCTTGCACCACACTAGAGTTAATAGACACCATCCACTACTCTTGCAGAGAAACACTAGATTTCCATAGCCCACTAGAAAACAAGAGTAGTCAGTGAGAAGGAAAGAACACGGCAAGTACAAACAAGAATGATCAAACAAGCAGAGCGATCCAGTCAGAAACCCTGAATCCTAGCCCAGACTCTAATTTCGACCCTAATGACTCTGGCGGCCATACCCTAGGGCCTAGCGAACTACAGTATTCACTGTTTCCAGTGAATTACTGCAAATCCAATCAAGCGCTTCTGCAGTATTGCCTATTTTTGGATTGCGATTGATTGACAACTGTCAGAATTGAATTCTGACGGACATAATTGAAGTTATGACCGACCCTAGGTAGCACAGGCTATAATTAGACTCGGCGCAAAATTGCAATTCACAGTATTACTACTTTTCCAGTGCAGAATTCACATTCGGAGCATCCCAAATCAATCGCAATACAGTCAGGCAGTCACAGAACAATTTTGGATGCAAAAGAGTCAACAGAGGGTTAGAAATGAGCAGAGAAAGGTAGGGGAGAGATGGCTATGGCTGTCATGCAGTCTGCGATTTTCACATCCAGTCACTGACAGACAGATAAACCATAATTATTGACTAATCTAACCCTATCTGAATCGCTATACAGGTAGGTGCATGGAACGAACTCACTTTCAGAGTTTCTTGTAGAGCTGGGTGAAGATCTGGCTATGGCAGACTGAATTCCCTCATCTCGCCAGTTTCTTCCAGAGCCTCCTCCTCTTTGTCCCCCGCACATAACCACTTCAAACTTGTTGATCCTCTTTAGGATCCTGTAGCGCTGCAACCCTTTCTGCCAGATTCCCTAAATCTGGCACTGTGGCACTCAAACACCAACAAACAATTATCTCGCCACAGGTACCCTCAGCCGCTGATGCTATAATTAGCCCCAGATGGGGTTATTTCCACCTGAGATTTGACTCTGACTGTCAATCTCCCTCAGCGCTGCTCAGGGATGAAGCCGCTCAGTGATCCCTGAAGTCCTCAGGGGTAATTCGCCACTCTGAGGCACTTCGCTATCCTTCCCTCAGGGTTGGCTATGGCGAATTAGCCTTGTTCTCGCCACTTCATGACAAGCGCCCTGACAGGCTCAGTGCGCTTGCTCAATACAAACACTGAACTCCTGAATTCACCGCTTGAAATCTTCTTCCCTGCTGACTCAGTATTGGAGAAGATGAATCGCCATGAAACTTCTCGCCAGTGGTTCGCCAGATGAAGAAGATGCCTCAGTTGCACTCAACCCTCAGTGCTCCAATTCCAATCCCGCTCCGATACCAACTGTTATGAACTTGGTTGTCTAACGATTTTTACCGCCACTCACACACAGACAGTCTCGTACACGCGCATACATGCATAAGAGAAGGGGGAGAGGAGACAGAGTCTTATGATTACATTCCAATATTACCAACATAATTGGCCTCAATGTCTCGACACACTTGCAAGAGCGGCGCTCTACCAGCTGAGCTGATCAGAGTATGTAGCGGAAGTTCAGCCATGCACAGATGGGGAGAAGACACTGCGAGATTCTCACTCTCTGACAAACTCCCAACAACCAATCACAAGAAGAACCTGCGAGGGTAACAATTGGAATTCACACTGATGAAGAGCCAATTAAACCAGATATCGTTACAGAGTTCGTCCAGTATCTCGCCACACTCAGAACCCCACACTCCACTCTCTACCCCACACCCAGCTAGTAGCGCACAATCGAAACACCCTCCCAAAGGCCAGCGCCAACCACCCAGATGAAGAACAGATCCTGCGATGAAGTCTTCAGTGTTGATGAACAACTCTGACGAAGAAACAGGCAGCTATGGCTGCCGCCACCCACAAACACTCAGTGAGGAGCCTCGATATAGCCTGGCCAAACGCAGATACCCCCAGGGGTAGATGCGCTGAGGTTCCACCAGCTCCGGCAATCTTCAGAGGGCTGGCTATGGCTGCTGTCCAAGGCAAGGGTCTCAGGATGCCGCCTGCAGACAGTCACCGCCACCAACTTGCTTGGCTTCTCAAACGCTGCTTCGCGAAAAATGAACAGCCAAAAGTCCCCAAAACGATTTCCTTAAACTATTAATAGATTTCTACTACTCTAGCCTAACGACCGGTACCGTTTCTGCTTCAGCCTCTCGGCCTCTACCGGAGCCGGATATAGGCTATAGGACCGTCTATCAGCTTAGGCCCTTAGGGCCTGTCTGTCCTAGGGGTAGCCCGGGCCTGCTAAACGCAGTGAGGGTAGCTGTAGGAAATTCGAAATACTGCTGGGCCTATTTTCGCACATTTGCAGATATGTCCCTCACGAATTTTCCTTACAGGTAGGTCCCTCGGTTAGCCCTCAGCCAAACAAAATTACAAATCTAACCTACTGCTGTACTGTACAGCCTCGCGGTTAGTCTCGGCAGTCGAAATCAGCAAGTCATTGCACAGGCGCTGATGCACCATAGCCTGTTGCAGCGAGTTTGTATCTGAACTGTGTTCTCCACTTTCAGATCTCTGAGCTTTGAGTGGGCGCTTGGCGTCAGTGTGAGTTGCCATCTGTCTGCATGTATGTGAAGCGGAGCAGTAAGCGAGTCTGATTGCAGATATGATGAACAGTCGGTAGGGCATATGCAATAAGGGCCCATATATACCCGATTAACTTGAGAAGCAATCCTGAAAAGGCTGGTGGATGGTTAGAGAACAGCATGGATCACATCATTTTCCAAAGAGGCTTCTTGCATGGCTGGAAGAACATGAGAATGCACATCAAATACTTCCACAACTGGTTAGAAGGTGGAAAATAGGCGACTTCCCTCGGCTGATGTGTGAAATGCACATGTGCGAATTGTAGGCTGATGTGTCAAAAGGACCAGTGCATCCAAGCCTGCCTCTTTTGTATGAGGCGGATTCCCACTGCACGTCGAGTTTCGCCGAAACGCCAACGTGGTGTTTCTGTTTCAGTTCTACCTGGTGCCACCAGCCATGTTGGTTCAGTTGCCCAGAGCCCCCGTTTTTTTTGGAGTGCCCCAATCATGATTCTCAAGTTGGCAGGGGTCATATACTGGTGGTTTAATGACTGAAAAAGAAAACTCCAATAAGGGACTGAGGAAGAAATGTCCAGTTCAAAGAATTGCTATGTTGAGTACCTACTCTTGGTTTCTTCCACATCAGCGGCCCTCGAGGAGGAAGAGGGAATGAAACTTAGGGTCAGGCCCCACTGATGCTATGCTCATGCTATAGGAACATGATCCTAGCCGCTATTACGGCAATGTTCATGCTTTCCACATGAACATAGCACCAGTGGGACCTGCCCCTAACACTAAGGACTCTGTTAGTAAGTATGGTGGGAAAATTTTGCTGAGCAGTTGACGTTACTATCCTTTCAAGAGCATCCATACTATTAAAAAGGTCTCACGGAATCTTACCTTCATTAAACTTTCAAGCTTTGACTTGACAAGGGTGAGCTCCCTCCTCACAGCTTCAAGGGCCTGTCTGCACCTGCAATCAAAGACATAAATTGCACGCCTTTGTCAAAAAGAGGTCCTCCGGAACATCCATTAAAATTGGAACGACACACAGAGAAGATGAGCATGGCCCCTACATTAGGATGTCACGCATAAAAAACAAACAACAAACTAAAAAAAAAAAAAAAAAAAACAGGGTTTTGCAGTGTCAGATGCTCTACAACAGTTCTCACACTGCATTCTTCCCCCGAACACAACACACCCTCATCATAACTGTGTCACACAGGAAAGTGCAATGACTTGCTGGTTCCAGGGTGCCTGTAGCCTCACTCTGATGAGGCTGTACCATAGTTAGGGACAGATTCGTAATTTTGTTTGGCCGAGGACTAACCGAGAGACCTGCCTGTATGGAAATTCGTGAGGGACATCTCTAATACTATAAAGCAAGAAGCGGGTCTCCCGTGATGCTCCCGCTGGGCCCAGCGAAATTCGGGCAGGGAGGTCCGCGCGCGGTGCCGCAGGAGACCTAGGAGGGCACGACGGTTGGGGAGGCCGATAGCCGGGACGGGCGCGGTCGTGACGGGGGGGGCGGTGGGCGGTCGGTGTCAGCGTGACTTTATGAACAGGCTCTTTTTTCGCTACCGTTTTTTCTCGCGCCGCGCCGGGGGGAGGTTGGGAAGTAGCATGTTCTAGCCGAAGACTCAACCAGGTAGTGTATGTTTCCATGTTCTAGCCGAAGTTTCATTGGATGTTGCTCATCCTATCGATGGAAGTAGAATGGCGCGAGCCGCGAGGTCGGAGAGTTTTCGTCTCTCTCTCTCTCTCTCTCTCTCTCTCTCTCTCTCTCTCTCTCTCTCTCCA